GAAAGGGAACACAATACCCAATTTTTTTTCCAGCCCTGAGCATTGAATGCGGGACCTAATATATGCTAGGTATCTGCCACTTAGCTGTGCTTCAGTGTATTGAGCTTAATTTAGAGGAAAAATAATGTTTTACTGTTTGAAGTGGAATAACTTCCAAGAGGAAGTGGACTCCCTATGTGCTGTCCTTCACAATTAGGTGTCTCCCAGAGCTTTCTAGGGCTGAGAATCCAGGGAGAGGGCAGTCAGTTTCTTCTTTATGCTTTGGTACTATGCAGCTTCTACTAAGCAAATAGAAAGATCTAGCAAAGTAGCAGTGCCTGAGCTTTGGAGGACCCAGAGTGCACTAACTATCACCTGAGAGATGCAGTGTGGGGTGCTTGGAGAGTGGAGGTGAAAGCGTTCTGTTCAGTTAACATTAGGAAGAAGGTGGGTCCTGAAGGAGTGTGTGTGGGGGGGGTGGAGATAGTCTGTGGCATTTGCTTTACAGCGGGTGCTGCTTCAGATGGGTGCAGTTGATGCTGTGTAGGGGCTGCTCAGCCTCTGCTGTACAGCAGTGAGTTCTTTTGCTTTGCATTCACAATAAGAACACAGCGTGTTTATTTTCTGGGGGTTATTTGTTTTGTTTGGGGGCTAGGAGCTTACTAATAGGAAGGAAGCCATACTTTTCAGATTGTTAAGTCAGCTGCTAGTTCCCTGAGCTCCAGGTCACTGTGCCCTCCCATAGAACATACTACTCACCTTTGTTCAGTGTTCAGCCAGCCCTGCTGTCTGCCATTCAAGATTCTGGGAAGTATATTACAAGGGTGAGACTAGAAAAAGTAATCTCTGGTATACATGGTTCCTGTCTGTTTCATTGACGATGCATTGAATTCTGGGAGACATTCTGTAGTTAGAACAAACTGGTTCTCAGTCAGAGTCCATAACATAGCTTCCAGACTGACAGAGCACTTCACATACACAGCTGATGAAGAGCCGATTCAGTCAGCTGGCCTTAGGAAGACTTTTGCCGACACAGAGAGAGGAGAATCACAGGGTAGAGCCCATTTGGACCCAGTAACTTTGAGTAGTCAGTGATGAGAAAGACAAGGGTATGAGCAGGAGCCTGCTGAGAGTCAGGCACTGAGGTGTAGGAAGGGGCCAGCTCCTATAGCAGATTCTTAACAAGGTGAATGGGTAGAACTCACAGGTATGGTTTATTGGTGGGCATAATGGAGGGCTGTGATTTTCTGACTTGGAACTTGAGAGAGAGGGAGTGAGAGAGGGTATCAGTCTTTAGGGTGATGGGACAACTATAAGTGAGCCATGAGCCAGAGTAGAATGGAGTGGTTGCTCTAGTGTCCTTTCAGGACACACTTCCTTTGATGCACCAGTGAAGTGTCCAGAAGACAACTGGAACGTAGAGAGAGTTGGGCCTGGGTGGATGTTTTATGGACTTGTGAATAAAGTTGTGATTGGAATGAGTATACCAAAAATGGAAGTGTCTAGCCAAGGTCTGAACTCTGGAAGCAGATTCTACAGCTTAGTGCAAGCAGAGAACAGCCATCAGTGGTAGCCATGCTGTGAAAGCACAGGAGACTGGGCTGGGGGGGGGGGGGGGATTGAGGGTGTGCTGTGAAGTGTAAAGGAACCACCCAGAAGCCTCTAGTGCAGTGGTTCTCAACCTTCTTGATTTTGTGACCCTTTAATACAATTCCTTATGTTGTGGTGACCCCCAGCCATAAAATTTTTTCATTTCAACTTTATAACTCTAATTTTGTTACTGTTATGAATTGCAATATAAATATCTGATACGCAGGATATCTGATATGTGACCCCTGTTGAAAGGATTGTTTAACTTCCAAAGGGGTTGCAAGTCACAGGTTGAGAACTGCTGCTCTAGGGACTGCCACCCCTCCAGACTGCCTGCAGTGAGGCCTATCATTCTGTACTAGGAGAGAGTGGAAGGAGGTAGGCCAAGACCATAATACTTGCTTACTCAATAGTTGTTGGAAAAAAGAACCTGTTACAGACTACTACTAATGAGCCAGCTATCAGAGCACAGTGGATGGGCGGGGCTGAGCCAGACTCTCTATAGGTGACTTGTCTAGAGCTGGAAGCTTCTCTCCTGGGACCTAATCTCCTAAGGTGAATTCAGCAGGGTCCATGCACTCCAGATGCATGTTAGTCTGTGATTTCTCAGGCATTTAGTAATTGATGGTGATTTTCCTTTCAGTTAACACGAAAGTTAGTAGTTCTCAGGTTAAACCCGGGAACCAATCCTTGTAAAAACTCACTATAGCTTATCAGAAGCTGGCAAGCTCTCATACCACGGCACCAGCCCCTTCTGGCCATGCTGCACACTAACTGACACAGTAAGCTATGCTCACTGATTGAATGAAAAATAAATAAATAATGCTTTTGTGTTAAGGGACCTTTTTACAATATGCCAGGGGAACCTACTGGAGTCTCTTTAATCTCGAACAATGCTTGCTTCTTTCAGAGGCAAATTATGCAGATTGGTACTTAGTGTTCTGAACTCCATCAAGTCTTTGTTGGTAGTATTGTGTGTGCCTGCAGTACAGAGTTCCTACCATCTTGGGCAGGGGAGAAAACTACCAGTCAGACCACTGCTGTGATCAGAAAAAACACTGTCTACTGCTTTGAACTGCCCAGCAGCAATAGAATGGGCATTCTGAGGAACCCACTATTTTGTACAGGGCTTTTCTTTTAGTTTATTTTGCTTTTGGTAATTTGCAAAGTACACACAGAGGAGCAGGTAGCCAAACTGTTCAGGTGACAAACAAAGCTGGGGCTGCCACCACAATGTCAGATGGATCCACGATCCTCTAAGCACCTTTTATGTACACTCTGTCCAGTGTCATATTGTAAAAATTTTCCAAACTCATCCAGAGTACACGTGTAGGTGTAAAACAACGTCATTTAAATTTCAGCCAGTGCATAAAACTTAACTTGAAGGAATCCTTTGATCCCAAACTAAAAGAAAGAACCAGAAAAGTTTAAAAGCCCTTGGGGGGGTGGGGGGAATGGCAGTACTTTTGAATGAACTCCTGATATTGCTGCTGCTTTAAGGCTCATGCTGCCATCTAGTGGACAGGGGGAAAGTGTGCATCTGACTCACTGAGTTAGAATTTTCGTACACACTATACTTCTTGAATAGAAAAACCAAATCAGTGTGAAGGATTAAATTGAAGAGTTGGGAGTGGTGGCCACACCTTTAATCATTCACTTTGGGAGGAAAGACAAGCAGATTCCTGTGGGTGAGGTCGTTCTGGTCCACAGTGCATATCACAGGCCAATCAGAAGAATCGCTTTACCAAATCTGACATGTCATGTGATAGATCATGCTCATGCAGTTTATAATTTTTCTCCAGCAGACTTAACAGTGAGATTTTATGATGCATCTTGGATAGGAAATAGGAAGAACATGAGAAAGCAGCTGTGGTAACTAGGAACCATGCCCAGTATGTACTCATACCTGAACTGGAGCCTGAGATCTGTATACTGCGTATATGACCTGAGATGTGTTAAGTTTTCTCTAAGAGGTTTGTGTCCCCAACTAGTTATGGGAACAGTGGTGATCAGTGCAAATGCAGGGCCCTTGGAACAAGAGAATATGTTTGAAAGTGGGTGCCACTGCTCGGTGTTGAACAGACTCCTCCATTAGTGCTTGTTAACTGAACATTCTAATCATACTTGAGTTTATTTTTTGAGTGCTTTTTGAGTGTCCTAGAGCACCTTTCTGACCTGCATTTGTAGTACTGGTCAGGACCCTGTGGGAAGCTGGACTAACCTTTCTACACATCTCCAGTGTTATGTTGTCAGTGAGAATGCTGGTCATATTTAGTACTTCCTGTGCATAGAAATGTCCACTGTACAGGCCTCCTGGGCAGCTCATGATGCATCTGAAAAGAGAAGTGTGTGTATAAAAGCTAAGTCAGCACTTAGCTTTTATACAGCAGCCATGTGGAAGGTGTACAGAGCACAGTGAAAATCCTCTTGAGTTGGCCTTTACAGAAAATCTTACAGAGAAGTGAAAGTTCAGCAGATCTGTCAGCAGGAGCACAAAGGCAAGAGCCGAGGTCTGAGCGAGCAATAGTCGCAGGACACAATCAGGCCACTGCTGGTTAGTCATTCTTTTCCTCTCAGAACCCTTGTCCCAAAGTACTGTGACTTGAGTTTGAATCACTGACATATATAGGTGCTCTGAAACAGTTTGGTCTGGTTTCTGGCACTGTTGATGGAACCAGGGCCTGTTGATGTTGTATATGAAGGTTCATATGCCTAAGCTATACCAGCAGTTCCAGAGTAAGCCCCTTTTTAAAACTTGAAGTCAGTCATCTCAAAGTAAGAGTTTCACAACACATTGCTTCCTGCTCATCTGTAGGGGTACCTGTAAAGAGGATAGGGGTCCATTTGGTTTATATCATTGCCCAAATGATCTCAAACTGTGCTGCTCCCAGAAGCCCTGATTATATATCTATAGCTTCAGCCTCAGGATCCATCCCCTACAACACCTGAGAGAAGAAACTATTATCTTTGAATAGATAGTACACTCAAAAAGTATTACTCCTTAATGGGCTCATGAAGTGTACTTTCTGGTGTACTCTGTACTTTCCCTCAGCATCCTTACCTAGCATCATAAGTCACTGTAGTCAGAGGAAGAAGCAGCCATTGAGAAGAGAACAAGACCCACGAGAATTAGCATGGTAGTGACTGTGAGATTATAAAATCAAACTTGTGTGTTGGGTGTGGTGGCTCATGCCTGCCATCCCAGTGCTCCTTATGAAGACAGAAAGACCACAAGCTCAAGGCTGTTTGGAGCTACATAGCAAGACCTTGTTTTCTCACACACCCCTCCCAGCAAAATTAGAAGTAAAGTTTCTGAGTTTGTAGCTTCAGAAACTCCTTGAAGCTGTGCTCTACTGTGTGGAAAAGAGTGCACTTGCTCAGTGTCCACCTGTCTATATTATATAAAGTGTTTGATGTCTTTTCAATTGTAGATTTCTCACATTGGGAAGCTGAGAGACTTTCTCCTGGAACACAGGAAGGAGTATATTAATGCCTACAGGTAAGTGGGTTCTTATTTCCATGGGTTTGGTGGCTGCATTGCTTTCTGTTGTTCAGTCTGCTCCTTTTTTGTCCTCACTTTTCATTAACTCAGACTTGTAATGGGAAAGGTCAGTGTCCTTGTTTGCTTTCTATTGCTGTGATAACACCATGACCAAAAGCAACTTGAGAAGGAAAGGGTTTATTTCATCTTACACTTCCATATCAAGGTCTGTGATTAAGGGAAGTCAAGACAGGACCGTAAGCAAGATCCTAGAGGCAGGAAATGATGCATAGGCTACAGAGGAACACAGGTTACTGGCTTGCTTCTGTTCATCCTGCTTTCTTATACACCCTGGACTACCTACCAGGGGGATACCACATCAGTCATTAATGAAGAAAATGCCCTACAGCCTTGCCTACAGTCTGATGGTGGCATCTTCTCAGTTAAAGTTCTCTTCCCAAGTGACTCCAACTTATGTCACATTGATAAACACTCACTAGCACTTCAACTAGGCACTGGGAGGATATCTGCAGAGTGAAGCAGAATACCACGGCAGGTTTGTATCAACACACTAGTCACATAGCACCAGCAGACTCCTCTAGTCTGTGTGTCTCTGGGTTTGCTGCTTTGGAGTATTCTTGTGAACCTATTTCCAGCCCTTCCCCTTGTGTCTGTCACCGGGTCATGCTTTTTTCTTTTTCTTCTTGACCAGTTCTCTTCCTGATGGCAGTCTCCTTCTTTTGACACTTAGAGATAAAAACAAACGTCCGCAGCTTGGCCTTTGTTTCTTATGGTGCATCTTGTGAGTGCTTTACTCAGCAGCTCGTATACTTATGGTTGCATTCCTCCTGGTGGTAAAGTTTCTAGTCAGTAGTCATTTACTTACGTCACCATCTGAGTAGATCCACTGTGAAGATCCATTGCACTGGTATTGGCTCACCTTCTCCTCTTAAACCAAGCCTCCTGCTTCCCTTTAACCACGGTGCTCCAGCCTTGCCAGCCTTCCTGGAGAGCTCCGTGCTCCTCCTCGATGCAGGGCATGGCCAGATGAAGTGCTTCCTATGAAAGTGCATCCCCCTTTCAGCTTTGCTCCTCAACTTTTAACTATATAGTAATGTGGAGGGTAGAGAAGAGTCCAGACATGCTGAGGCTTTAAACTGTGTCTTCCCATCTCTCTTCTCTCTTCTCTCTCTCTCTCTCTCTCTCTCTCTCTCTCTCTCTCTCTCTCTCTCTTTTAAAAAACCATTAGAGCTTTCTTTTCCTTCTTTTCCTTTACAGATTTTATTTTATTTATATGAGCACACTGAAGCTGTCTTTAGACACACCAGAAAGTGGCATCAGATCCCATTACAGATGGTTGTGAGCCACCGTGTGGTTGCTGGGAATTGAACTCAGGGCCTCTGGAAGAGCAGTCAGTGCTCTTAACCGCTGAGCCATCTCTCTAGCCCCCAGATCTTTCCTATTAGTGTTTATTTCTCCATCATGAATCTTTATAACCTGAATCACAGTATATAATTATTTAATCAGTTAATAGGTTTTTGTCACTTTGTAAATTTTGGGAGGTCAGAAACCTTATCAACTTGTCATTTTTATTTCTATAGTGCTTTAGCTGTGTGTTACACTCATTACCACTTCTCAGATAATACATGAGGGATCCCTCATATCCCTGAGGGCTGTGGCCAGCCACTCGTTCTCATTTACAGGGATTTTGGGAACATCTTAAGAGATTTTGTTACAACAGTGAGGGGAGGGCTACTGGTACCTGGCAGATGTGGGACAAAGGCATACCCAAGCATCCTTCATTGCAAAACGTACCCTTCTATAGCCACAGGGCAGCTGACATCAACCCTGAAGGGGTTGCCTCATTCTGGCCTGCTGACTGTCCACACATATGAGGATCTGAGAACACCTGCCCAGGGTCTTCCTGCAATTCTAGATGCTTAGAGCACGTTAGAGAGTAAGGGAGAAATCTGTCTCTTCCTTATAAAGCCTGAATGCTACAGGTTGGCAAGGACTTTCTGATGACAGATGAAGGCAGAGCAAGCCATGAGGTGGGTGTGCTGGGGATATTTTTATGTAGTGTGGTTAGGACAGGCCCCTCGAGGCATCATCCTAGTAGACTCCTCTGAAGCCTGAACTCTCTGGCAAGTTCATGTCTGTCTTGCCTTGCCTTGTTGTCCTTCTTTTCCATCAGCTGCAGAGAACTTGACAGTCCCACTTGTGCCCTGTGTCCCCGTCCCCAATGCTTCTGAAATGTCTCTACACACAAGATTCCTAGTGGTTTTGATGATTTGACTCTCTCTTTCCCTTCCGCTCACAGACTTACTTGCTTTCTTCCTAAGCCACAGTTTCTGGTCACTGCCAAACATCAGAGTCTGCCAATCTGGGAAGAGGGTTAGCACCTCAGACTGTGGGCTGTGTGTGCTTTCTGTCACATGTATTGTTTGTGTGTTTTGCTTATTACCTTTGAACCACAGAAAGCATTCTTAGCTTCCAGATCACACGAAACTGGACCTGAGAGCTGGGTTTGGCTGTAGTTTGCCAACCACTGGGGCACGCCCATCATCCTCACCATTTACTGTGCTGGAATCCTCCAAGAAACGCTCCATTGCCTTCTCTGTTCTCGCAGGCTTATTCTCTGACTTGCTCATCATCAAATCCAGTGGCTTCTCTGAAATTATGTATAAATGGAGTAGCACAGAACATACCTTCTAGTACATAAAACACTCATTTATTCCATTATTTCTTTTTTGTATTCTATTATGCTGAATTATCATAGTTTGGTTATCCATTTGCATAATAAATAGATGTTTCCAGGAGCTGCTGTGACTGAGCACCTTCAGAAGTCTTTGTAAACATAAGTGTTCATAAATAGCTAGCAGAGAGATTTCTAGGTCCTTCACATGGCAAAGGTGTGTTTAGCATTAAAGCAAACTCCTAAGCCTGGGCCTAACAGCTCAATGGGCAATACTTCTGACTGTGGACTGGAATATTCAAAATCAACTATGAAGCAGTTTGCAAGGCGATTTCACACAGCCTGCTACCTAGAGTAGAGTTGCCAGTGCTCCACAGCCATGCTAGTGTCTGGTATGGGCAGTTTTTCATTACAACCACTATTAGTATGAAATAGCATCTCATTGCACTTTAAATTAGCTCCTAAAATGTCTTATGCCCTTGGCTTCATTACAGTGGTGTTGTTCACAGGGCACTGGATTACACATCATACAGGTGTTCAAGACCCTCACCGAATGGTATAGTGTTTGCATGCTTGTCTGTGCTTACTGGAATCATTTTAGATGGCTGATGACATCCAGCATAGGTCAGTGTTCTTAAAATATTTCTGCTGTAGCTTATAGGAGGACAGAGAAGAGCCCATGTGCTGTCAGTGAGGACCCAGTCATCTTGCTCTGAAGTTCCAGTATGGAACCTCCTGTTAGTTTGGTTATCCATTTCCATAATAAATAGATGCAAAGGCATAGGACTAACTGTATTTTCACCTCCTCTGACTATTCCAGGTTTTGCTTCTTTATCCTTAACTTGCACCATAGAACTTTGCATGTTTTTTGTCTCTTTTGTCTTATTTGTCTTTATTTTGCATTTGAAAAGTACCATAAATGTTGTGTTAGTCTGATTTTCATCCCTGGGACAAATACCTGAGAAAGCAACTTAAACATAGAGATGATTTGATTTGTTTCCTGATTCCAGGTTTCATGTCAAGGTCAGTTTATTACTGTAGGCCTGGTACAGTAGAAAGTCATGACAGAGTGTGGCAGGGCCAAGTTGTGCACCTCTCAGCAGCCAAGAACTGAGAGAAATGAGATAGCCACTCCCTTCAAAGACATATCTACTGACATGCTCCCTCCAGACAGATGCCACTTGCCAGTAGCTCCTCGAAGCTGCTTGTGGACTGACTCATGATTCAGTAGTAATCAGCTGGGGACCAGGCCTCCAACAGAGGCCCTTGAGGGCCATTTCATAGTCAGTTCTCTCTCCCCACACACTCAGCCCTTGTTTGTCCGTCTGTGAGGTACGCTCTGCTCCTCAGTACTAATGCATATTTTGTCTCCTTTAGTCCTAGAATTCCCTCTCCCCATTTTTACTGAGTACCGTACAAGGCCAAAGACAGACATTTTGCTCCACACAGGCAGGCAGCACTGTAAACAGGAGGGGCACTAAAAAAAAAGAAAGAAAGAAAAGAAAAGAGTGCTCAGGGATTTGGAAAACCCTGGTCTTGTCAGGGAACATGATGTCCTTGGAGAAGTGACATTTGAGCTGAGGTGTAAAGGAAAAGGAGTTACCTAGTGAGCAAAACAAGAGAAGGAATTGGTGTGTGAGGACCTGTAGCAGCTGGCCCCTGTGATAGTGTCTGCCCTTCTGTGAAGCGAGTGGCAGTGGTGAGAGGAGCCTCCACACAGTACTGACCCCACAGCTGAAGAGGCACTGTGCCATCTGGAAAGCCAAGAACATGTTTGGCCAGAAGGTGGCTTCTGGCCTGGAGTCTTATCATCAGCACACAGGAGCACTGTGGTGCAGGCATATGGACCTGTCCTGGCCGCAGTGTGGTTCACAGTGGAACTCATTAAATCATCAGAATCTGGCCATGACATCACCACAAGCCTCTTTCTCAGGTGGCTCTGTCTATATGAAACAAGTGTCTGCACTTCAGTACTCAAAACAAAAACAAAAACAAAAACCTCTTCTCTGCAAAATGGCAATAGTTCACATACATTCCTCCACAAAGAAACTCACATCCCATGTGAATATAAGCAGTCTCTAACACTGCTCCCAAATTTAACAAGCAATGTTATGCTTTTAAATGTCTTTCATTTTGGTGTTTTGAAATACCCTGAGACATCATCCTGATGCACAGTACCATTTTAAAGTCTGCTGTTCAGCTGAAGCCCTGGATCCCTCCCTAAGTGCTCCCAGGCTGGTGGTTTAGACCCTGGGAGCTGTGGTTGGTTGGTATTGTTATCAGCTGAATACATAAGAGTGGAGGGCCCTGCTGGGCATAGGCG